TTGCTCATTATTATCCCTGGAAGGTTTTTGTCTTACTTTGCCATTGCAATTAGAGTTTTTCTTTGTAATTGAAATGCGCAAATGATTTGATTTCAAGTTTACGCTTTTAATAAAAAATCGCACACTTTTCTTTCGCTCGTGAGCCTCCTTATTGTGTGGGTCATTTTAGCCAAGTGCAAACAACTTTTTCCAAGCAACAGCAACAAGAGTTTGCGATAAAAATGCCTTTTGTGCAAAATAAAAAGTTTTGTTTTTTGTTGTTTGCCGAGTTCATTTTTGTGATACAACCGGGTTGCATTTTGTAGCTAGTTTTAGTACAACTTTTGCCTTCATATATATAAGTGTCCAAGTGTGGGTGGCTGCTCCCTAACGTGTCTGTGTGTGTGTGTATGTGTTGGCTTGTTAAAGTTTGTTTGTCAACTTTTCTTGGCAACTGGGCAAGAAGTTTGCACAATTTTTTAACACTCCATTTATGCGCTTTTATCGCATCAAACATTATTTTTATTTGCTCTATTCAAATGGGCAGAAATGCTTTAATTATTTGCAGCTAGAGAACTTTAATTAAATGCAATAATAACAGCATAGCATTCTGCCAACAATTCAAATTCCATTTGTGGCCGAGCCAAATTTTGGAATTTGCGAGCTGTTCAATGGCTGAGGTCGATTTTCGTTTTGCTTTTGTGGTCGGCTAAATACATGCACACATATGTGCTTTGTTTAGGCCAGCAAATAACTAAGCCATGTTAATTAAATTAAAAGCATCTTATGCGGTCAGCTAGCCCAAGGTATATCGCTCTCAAATACCTATACAGCTGCATGTTTGCTGGCAATAAATGCAGCCTGCAAATCATCTCGCTTTGCATGGCTGCCAAATCCGGTTTCGGCCTCTCGCAATGCCATTGACAAGTGTCTGCAGCAGCCTGCAGCAATTTACATACGGCGAGGAGAGGCGGGGCGGCATCGTTTTAAATATTTACATACAACATTTGCATTGGCAGGCCCTGAGCCTTGGCTGACCTCGCCCCCCTTAAAAAAAGGGGCTCTGCCGCCTCGTGCTCTCTGACACAAAGCTGTCCTTTAGAATTTCTAATTGTTATTTAATTTGCATAAACTTAAGATACTGCCCAGCCTGCGCCACTGGCACTTGTGCTTGGGCTTAGGCTAAAAGGAAACACATGTTCAATTAAATGAATCATTTTTATGGCCCGTCAGCTTTTTGCCTAATTTATAAATCTCTCTTTCAGGGGTCTACTTAAGAATTTAAAACAATTTCTATTAATATTTATGGCACAACTTTATGGCATTCTCTAGGCAAAAAGGATTTGAAGGTCTTAAGCGACGCATAATCATAAATGCTGAGAATTATTGCATAATAAAATCGAACAAAAGCATTTGACAGTTTTATTAAATTTTACGCCGGCCTGCGCCTATTTCTATGAATAGATTTTCTATTTAGAGCCAAGCGCGGGGCGTCCGCTGGCAGGCTGGGTGCAGGTGTCCGCGTCTTACTGTAAAACAATTACTTAAGTGATTTGATTTTCGAGAACAGTCACCAGCTCCCAACCCCACACGCCTCGCGCCGCCCACCGCACCACCAGCAAATGCCATTTCGCATTTCCATGAAATTTGTCAACTTTCTTTCAAGTCGCAACTTAAAGCGCGCCATGGCAAATGAACAAGGCGAAATCGAAACCTTTGTAGAACGGCACTTAAACTGCCCAACAATCCTCATTTGCTCGAAGACATTTAGTTTGAAAACCTTACAAATTACGTTTGATTTCCTTAAGAGAGCTAAAAAAAATGGTGTGGAAGAATAATTGATGACGATGATATATGATGATGATATATGTATCTTTTATCGAGTGTTTTTTTGCCCATACAAATATCGACCTTTGTAAAAGTCTGTCAGTTAGGCCTTGTATCTGCATCTGTCTCAGTTTCAGTTTCAGTCTCAGTCTCAGCCTCAGCCTTAGTCTCAGTCTCAGTCTCAGTCTCAGTCTCAGTCTCAGTCTCAGTCTCAATCTCAGTCTCAGTCTCAGTCTCAGTCTCAGTCTCATTCTCATTCTCAGTCTCAGTCTCAGTCTCAGTCTCAGTCTCAGTCTCATTCTCATTCTCATTCTCATTCTCAGTCTCAGTCTCAGTCTCAGTCTCAGTCTCAGTCTCAGTCTCAGTCTCAGTCTCAGTCTCAGTCTCAGTCTCAGTCTCAGTCTCAGTCTCAGTCTCATTCTCATTCTCATTCTCATTCTCAGTCTCAGTCTCAGTCTCAGTCTCATTCTCATTCTCAGTCTCAGTCTCAGTCTCAGTCTCAGTCTCATTCTCATTCTCAGTCTCAGTCTCAGTCTCAGTCTCAGTCTCAGTCTCAGTCTCAGTCTCAGTCTCAGTCTCAGTCTCAGTCTCAGTCTCAGTCTCAGTCTCAGTCTCAGTCTCAGTCTCAGTCTCAGTCTCAGTCTCAGTCTCAGTCTCAGTCTCAGTCTCAGTCTCAGTCTCAGTCTCAGTCTCAGTCTCAGTCTCAGTCTCAGTCTCAGTCTCAGTCTCAGTCTCAGTCTCAGTCTCAGTCTCAGTCTCAGTCTCAGTCTCAGTCTCAGTCTCAGTCTCAGTCTCAGTCTCAGTCTCAGTCTCAGTCTCATTCTCAGTCTCAGTCTCATTCTCATTCTCAGTCTCAGTCTCAGTCTCAGTCTCAGTCTCAGTCTCAGTCTCAGTCTCAGTCTCAGTCTCAGTCTCAGTCTCAGTCTCAGTCTCAGTCTCAGTCTCAGTCTCAGTCTCAGTCTCAGTCTCAGTCTCAGTCTCAGTCTCAGTCTCAGTCTCAGTCTCAGTCTCAGTCTCAGTCTCAGTCTCAGTCTCAGTCTCAGTCTCAGTCTCAGTCTCAGTCTCAGTCTCAGTCTCAGTCTCAGTCTCAGTCTCAGTCTCAGTCTCAGTCTCAGTCTCAGTCTCAGTCTCAGTCTCAGTCTCAGTCTCAGTCTCAGTCTCAGTCTCAGTCTCAGTCTCAGTCTCAGTCTCAGTCTCAGTCTCAGTCTCAGTCTCAGTCTCAGTCTCAGTCTCAGTCTCAGTCTCAGTCTCAGTCTCAGTCTCAGTCTCAGTCTCAGTCTCAGTCTCAGTCTCAGTCTCAGTCTCAGTCTCAGTCTCAGTCTCAGTCTCAGTCTCAGTCTCAGTCTCAGTCTCAGTCTCAGTCTCAGTCTCAGTCTCAGTCTCAGTCTCAGTCTCAGTCTCAGTCTCAGTCTCAGTCTCAGTCTCAGTCTCAGTCTCAGTCTCAGTCTCAGTCTCAGTCTCAGTCTCAGTCTCAGTCTCAGTCTCAGTCTCAGTCTCAGTCTCAGTCTCAGTCTCAGTCTCAGTCTCAGTCTCAGTCTCAGTCTCAATCTCAGTCTCAGTCTCAGTCTCAGTCTCAGTCCAGTCTCAGTCTCAGTCTCAGTCTCAGTCTCAGTCTCAGTCTCAGTCTCAGTCTCAGTCTCAGTCTCAGTCTCAGTCTCAGTCTCAGTCTCAGTCTCAGTCTCAGTCTCAGTCTCAGTCTCAGTCTCAGTCTCAGTCTCAGTCTCAGTCTCAGTCTCAGTCTCTGTCTCAGTCTCAGTCTCAGTCTCAGTCTCAGTCTCAGACTCAGTCTCACCCCATATCCAGACCTGTATATGTATCTGCATCTATTTCCGTATCTGTATCTGCATATCAATATGTATCTAAATCTGTATCTTCATTTCTATCTACCTCTGCCCGCCACTCCCATCTCTGTTTCTCTCGCAGTCTATCTCTATTTCTCTCTCATATCACCTTTCATTTCATATCAAATGCAATTAATTGTGAATGGGCACACAAGCTGAGCACATGAATTGTAATTTTACAATTCTAGGAAATTCATATTCTGATTTATATGTAGAAGCATATTTGAGCTTAGCTAAATAATAACGACCATCAAATATGTGCCGCAGCAGCAACAACTACAACAGGCAAATGCCAATATTGTCAAGCTGTTATGCCTCATAATTTCACAAAGATGATTGTTTCTGTTGTTGTTGTCTGTGGCAAAGTGAAAATATTGCAGGCAATTGACATTTTTCAGATGTCAGCCCACATTGATTTCCGTTTAGTTGGCTGACTTTGGGTGGCCGGAAACACATCGATTGCGTTGCCATTTATGACATATTCATGCCATACATCATATATACACATATATCATATATCATATATCGCATATCGTCTATGAGACATGTGCCAACTGTTGCGTGCTTAACGGCATTTATGTTTATGCACATGGCCAAGATATGTGTGCGCGAAGTGAAGTGTGACAGCGCGACACTTGATGAATATGAAAATGATTTTTTATGTAAATGTAGCGCATGAAATTTATAAAAGAAATTAGCAGCTGAAAGCACTCGCATATATGGCTAAAAAGAATTCTCGGTGAGGGGAGTGTGGGAATGGGCAACTGTTGACAGTTATCCTGACACAAACACGCATTGTCATGTCTAACAAGCGTCAGCCCAGCCTGGGTCTGAGCCTTCACATCGCCTGTCAGTCAGAGGCAGTCAAGTGTTGCCTTGTGTGTGTGCCAGGACATTTACATATTTACACTTTACGCAGAAATAATCATAAAAAAAGCCAACGTTTATGGCTGTGTGCGTAAAGCTGCGACTGTTGTTGCAATGTTAACGTTTAATGGATGGCGACAACAACAACAACAGCAGCAACAGTAAAAACCTGCCCAAAGGCTGCCCAAATGCAATTTGCACAAAGAGGCTGAGAAAATGGCTGCACAAAACTGAATCATTTTAATATAATTTGCAGGCAAGTCAACGCACACACCGACTGTTAGTTAACAGCACGTTAACAGCGAGCGCACTGTTAAGTGTCTGCGCTCAGCTGGGCTGTGTTTAGCGCACTCGAACTCATTCATAAAAAGCCAACAACTGAGAGCGTATGCTTAACAGCAGGAGAGCGCGCAGATTGAGCTGTTGGATGCTGCTGTTGCTATTCGCCAGCTGCTGTGGCTGCTTAAATAGACATCACACAGCATCTGGCGGCAACAGTGGCCACTGCAGCGTTGAGCCTGAACGACGCGTTTCTCATAGCACACAGTACGTAGTCGCCGCGTATCACTCAGCCAGTTAGTCAGTCAGTTTGATTAGACGCGTGAAGCGTGCTAAGTGCAGCGCATAATTTGTCTGACCTGCATTTGCTGATTAACACCAAATTTAATTATGTAATTAGCCAAGTGCTTTAATTATATGTAAACAAACTGTGTGTGTGTGAGTGTGTGTGTGTGTGTGTGGGTGTCTGTGCATGCATATAAATTAAAATTGGAAATTTAATCAGTGACTGAACATGTGCATCGGAAGTTGTTACAAATTAAACGTAAATCAAATATTGCGCATACGCCCCAACGGCCAGACAAGGAGTCTGCAGTGACACTAAAAGTTATCAAAGCTTTGTTGTGACTGTGTGTGTGTGTGTGTTGGTGTTTGCCTCGTGTCTGTGCATTGCGCTAATTTCTCACACTTCAAACGTCTGGCAATGAATTTCCGTTTCCCCTCACGCTGGCTGCCAGCGCTTCGCACTTCACGTTCCACATTCTGATTTCCTGCTTTCTTTGGATTTCGCTTTGTGTTTGTGTTTTATTTTTTTTTTGCCACTTTTCGCTTTTGGCTTTTCACTTCCGCATTTGGCTCGCAGCGAATTGTTTAGCTCAAGTGTTTTGTTTTACTCAGTTCTATGCTCGCTACTCGTACCTCTGATTGTGTCTCTCTATCCTTTTATGCCATAAATTAAGCACTCTGACAGTGCACTTACCTTAGCTTTGTTTGCCGATAAACACTTTATGCGAATTTGAGCTCTGCATTAGCGCCACGCTCTGCTCTTTCAAGCCTTTCAATGGCCAAAGTCCTTGTTAGTTTTTGGCTTGCCTTGGCTGAGCTGCCCTGTAACCAGCAGAGCGCGAGCCGATGAAGACTTTGTGGGCTTATCTTGAAATCTTTTATTTTTTTTTGGGATTTCTGATTTAGATTGTTTAAATATTCAAGAAAATATGCCAACGATAGCTAATATTATGTTTATTATTTATGTTTTGATATGTTAGAGATATGTTCTTACTGAAATATTTATATATATTTTTTTAAATTAAACGTGGATATAAAATCTGAAATATTTATTACTTAAACTTTTATATTCATTTGTAATATTTGCTAAGATATTTTTTTATATACTCATAGCTGGCTGGCAGAGAAATATATTAAGCTGAGATATAGATAGCAAAACTCTGACTTATGATTTATGAACTGCGAGAGAAATAAGTTTCGCTCTTTCTCTTCTTATGGATGGTACAAGCAATAGACAGTCTCTAAGCGTAATTTCTGATATTTATTTCTTTAATAATAATTATCTTTTCCATGATTATAAACGCTCAATTAAATATCAGCCCTAGCTATTAGCACATTCAAGCCTTTATGCATCATTAAATCTAAGTAGTTCATTAACTTTCAGAGCCAGCTCTCCTGGTAGATATGCTTGCAGCAATATGTTTGTGTAGTAGCAGTCATTATGCAAATTTTAATGAGGTTTTGCTTATTTTTACTATTTATTTTAGTTAGGGGCAACTTGGAAACTTAGACCCATCAACGCTTTCTTTTGATTAGCTAATGGCGTTTATTTGATTTCAAATTGTTTACAACACGCGCAGCTGAGCTGAGCTGAGCTGAGTAGAGTTGGGTGGGCTGCTCTTGTGTCTTGTGCCTGTTGGCCAACTTTTTGCTGCCTCTCTTGTATAAGGCACGTAGCGCGAAAGTGAAGAAACACTTGTTGGTTGGCGGGCAGGTTGGTTGGCTTGTCTCGCTCATTGGATGGGGAGGACGTTCGGTTAGTTGGTTCGTTGCTGCTGCCTGGCACGTAGCAGCGGGCAAATCACAGTTGTGCGATTACCAACTTTGCAAATGAATTGAATATAAGCAATGGGAATGGTAATAGATGTTTCAAATAACATGCAGTCACATACATATACGGGCGTTGCGCAAGCACAGAAAACTGTTGCCTACTTACGAGGGCAGCCGTCAAGTGCGTAATAAAAATAACACAAGCAACAGCCCGCAGCAAACAACTAACTGCAGCACTCGTACTAAAATAAACTACCATACAAATAAATAATAGAAGAAAACAAGAAGCCGAAGAAGAAGAAAAACAAACAAACAAACAACGAAAAGAACTGTGAACCGTGTCTTTTGTGCGAAGGTTGTTTATTTTGTGAGCAAAGCGCAGTAGAATGCGCCACTAAGTGCAAGTGAAATCCACAAAGGACGAGGACGACGGCAACGGAAACGGAAACGAGCACAACATGCCACGACTTATTAGCAGTTGCAGCAGCCACCAGCGAGCCATCAGCATGACAAGCATCAATTGTTTGTGGCTCGCTCTGCTGCTCGGCCACAGCTGCAACATCTTTGGATTACTGCGTCTCGAACAGCACCTGGTCGAGGGTGAGTCCCAAACAAATGTAAAAGGCATTACACAGTTCGTTTACTCCAAGCGAATCTGGTACTAAATGCTAAGCTAGATATAAAAGCTTTACTATGTTTCAGATTTTGAGCATATCTTGCATTCAAAAGCTTAGCTTTCCAAGAAATTCTATGCACATGAGGCAGGCAGCAGTCTAAGCGAATATATATATCTATTTTTAGATAATTATTTGATTACAGATAAAATTATTTTTAGATAATAATTGCTTCAGGTTCAGTCAATAGTAAATCATTTTGAAGCTTTTAAGTGAAAATTGTAAAATTAATTGAAAAAGATAGAAGAAATAAGTAGACACAAGCTCTACTTTTATATAAATCGATTTTATTGTAGTGTTAAAACTTTCTTGCAATATATCTTCTTTAATTTACACGATCTTTAAATGGCCAAATTTTTTTTTAAGAACATTTTTATTGGCAATTCATATAAATATTTGAGGAAGTAAAGCTTTAGAAAACTTTTTTATATTATTTTATTTTTTTTATTTAACATTATTTGTCAACAAAATGAAGCATTATTTAATTAATTATATTATTAATATTGTAATATTATATTGCTTTTATATTTATTTATAATTATTTTTTTATTTTTAAACAGTTTTATTTTTGAATGAAAAAATCTTGAACCAAATATTGAAATTTATTAAGCAATTATACTTATTATTATTTAATAATATTAAATATTAATATTTATATTTATGTATTTTCTTTCTGTAATTTAACTATTTTTGATATTAATAATAATATAAATAGAAATCTTGACAAAATTACTAATTATTTTATGCAATCTATGATTATGATTATCTATGATTATTAATATTTATTTATTAGCATAATTTATTTTTTACATTTTTTTCTTTTTACCATATTTGAAAGTAATTATATTTCAATTTTTTTTTTTGGTTAAACATTTTTTATTTAAAAAAAGCTAAACAAAATGGCCTAAAATTGTAATGCTTTAAATCTGTGTCAAATAAATTATGCACATTTTATGAGCGCACGCTTCAATTGTGTTTTACGTTTTCCATTTGTGATTTGCTTGGTTTCGTCCGACTCCGGTTTATGTCATTATGAGCGCAGCTTTTTGATTTAATGACAAATGCCATAAAACACACAAGCACACACACACACACACATCCACACAAATCTCTGCCTGAATGCGTGTGTGTGGAGCTTGTGTTTTATGCGCGCTTTTGATTTATATCCAAGTGCTCGCAAATGTTATGCTTTTCATTATTTTTTATGATAATTTATCAAATATGTGAGCAGCATGAAGAACAACAAAACAGCGGGCAAAAAATAAGAAAAATGTGTGAGCAAACGCAAACAGTTGGCAGTCGTTAGTCGTCAGTCGTCAGTTTATGACCTTTTAGGAAAGGTGGCAACAGCCTGCTGATTGCGGCTTAGCCTCAATAATAGCCCACAAAACGGTTTTAGACCAGTTAGCCAAAGCTTTAAATAACCTTCAAGCAGCAGCAACAAAAACAACAACAACGATAACGCCGAGAGTCAAAAGCCAATTCAACAGCGGCTTATTGCGCCTTTTTTGCTTTCTTCTCCTTGCCCTCTTTTTACCTGCCGCTGCTGGCATCACAGCACTGCCCTTTGAGTATTTGGATGAGCACGTGGACGACTTCAACTACGACCTGGACGAGGCACAATCCCAGGCCAAATACGATGCACGACTGCTCTCCGAACAAATGCTGAGCGACGCTGAGCTGCAGCAGCGTGCAGACATTGAATCTGGCATTAGCTCCAATTCCAACACCAAAACCAACAACAACAACAACAACCAAAACAACTTCAATGCCAACTCGAACAACGACTTGGCGGCCGAGGACGACTTGGAGCCGCATAGCAGAGCAGCGGCATGCTTCACAAATGGCCACAAGTACACACACGGACAAAAGGTAAGCACAACTCACTCACACACTCACACACTGGTGGCTGAGTAGGACTTTGCTACATTTGCTGCACCTGTGCTCTCAGCCATGCTACCTGTGCGAATATTCATATGCGGTTGCACCGCCTGCTCTAAACGGCATTTTCTTGCTCCTGGCTGTGTTGCAAAATGACTTATTCAGACCTTGATTTCACAGTTGCAACTGCTGGCGAAAGCTGTTTGATAAATGTGGTTTTAGCCATGGTTTAACAAGCCATATATATGCTATGATATCAACGGCATATTTATATCTCATCCCAACAAGTCGGATTTGGTCTATTTGCTGAATGTTTTAATATAACAATAAATGTGTAGATTTTAATAGATGTATATAATATATGAAATATACTTTAAATATATTCAACAATTTATAAACAATTATTATATTTTTTAAAATTGTTTTTCTAATTAGAACTTGAAGAAGAAACCTGTTTAAAACTGTCTGGCTAGCTTTTATCATTTCAGAAACTTTTTCATTTTATAAACAAATAAGAATACTTAAAAAATATTCTATTCACAAATTAAGTTTTTTATTGAAATATATTTTCAAGAAAAAACTATAGAAAATTATACACAAATATAAAATCAATCAAAATTCTGCTCATACTTCGCGCTACACAAAGAATTCTTAAGCAAAAAAGTTTTTTTGCACACATTTGAAATCTTAAAGAAAAAGTTTTTAATTGAAAATTAAATTTTATTTTGTTGCACATTTTAAATAAATTATAGAAAAAACTTTGAACGAGTAATTTGCTTGCATTTTAGATTTAAGTTCGAGAAAAGTTTTGTGTTTCATTAAAAAGTTTAGCTATTTATTAATTAAGAGTCAGAGAAATCAGGCTGCCGCTAGTTGCTCAAGTATCATGTTCAGCAATTCATTTCATATATAAATATATATTCATGAACTTTTAATAAAAATGGAAAAACTGAAATTTTGTTTGACAGAAATTGTCCAGTCAAACGGAAGGCTCGCTACAGTTCAGTAAATACATTTTATTAAAATTCCATTTAACAATTTGTAAAGATCTCTTAGCAATTAGCATATATATTTTTTCTTCGTAATTATTTCACAGTTGCCGCTCTTTTGATGCAATTTTAATTGAAGTTAAATTTCAAGTATTTTTCTAGCATTTGGCTTCAATTCTAGTTTGGTACCAGCTGTTACTGCATTCGCATTCATTTCAGTGTTTTTGGCTTTTTGCTTGTTGACCAAAGAGAAAAAAAACAATAACCGAACAACCGAACAACGTGACATTTCGCACAGCAACAAACACACAACAACAAAATGTTCGATATTGTTTTTTGGGGTTTTGTCCCCTCCTAAATAGCGAGGGCGAGAGTTTTGTTAAGCCCTTGTATTTTTTTCTGGTTTCTTCTATGTTCTTTTCTGTGACAGGTGCCGCGCTTTGATGCCTGCGAGGTTTGCCTTTGCATGGATGGTGAAATCTTTTGCTGGTGGGAAAAATGCGGTTAGTTTGAATTCAGTTTTATGTGTTTTAATACACAAAAATGAAGATGAAACTTTTTGCTTTCTAAAGCAGATAAGGCGAATGTAAACAGACCAGAGACAGCAACGATGGAGACGGCGACGGCAACGGCGATGGCGACGGCGACGGCTACTGCAGCTATAGCTAGCGACTATTCGGATCCATATCGGTACGAGACCACAACGAGAAAATCAACAAAAGTGCATAAGATGGGCAGGAAAGCGGGCAAGCGGCATAAGCATCACAAGAATCAAAAGAATTTTAATGACTACGAAGTTTACCAAAGCCGCAAGCAGGCGCCGGATTATGAAAAGCCAGACATAAAGCAACAACAACAACAAGCGAAAAGCGACAGCATTGGCAACCACAGCAGCGAGGCCAGCAACTACAATATAATCAAGCAACACAAACACGAGCCGCAGCAAAAGTTGGCAACGGCAACGCTCCAACAGCAGCCGAAGGAACCTTCGCAGCAGCAGCAGCAGCAGCAACAGCTTCACTTGGCAGCTGCTGTTAATCAAGCAGCAAAGGAAACGCATTATCAACAGCAATTGCCAACGCCTCAGCAGCAGCAACACCAGCAACACCAGCAACAACATTTGCACGCCCATCAGCAGCCGCACTCGTCCAGCAAGATTTTAAATTTTCCCGAAAATTTGCCTGCGCTACTTTATTATGACTACAAAACGGAGGAGCATGAACATCATCAGCATCAGCATCATCAGCAGCATTTGCTGCATGAAAAGCAGCGACTGCTGCAGCAGCAGCAGCAACAACAGCTGCGCCAGCAACAGCAAAAGATATTGCAAAAGGCGAACGCAGTTGTTGAACCCCACACAGTCTTGGGCATTGATAAAAACTTTGATGAGGCGGAAACCGACAGCGATATTTTGCCCGAGCCACCGACCAAGCGACCAGCAGCAGCATTGACAACCAGCAGCAATAGCAACGGCAACGGCAACAGCAAGGCGACAACAATGGCTTCTGCAGCAGTTGCAACAACAATTGAAATGATGACAACGCCGCGCAGCCAACAAGCAGCAGCAGCAGCAGCCGCAGACACAGCGGTTGCCATGGCAAATACAAATGTGAGTGCAAATAAAAAATAAAATATAAGCAATCAGACTTTACATTCAACTGGCAAAATACTGAATACTCTGCAGACAGTTGGCAGCCTTAAGATAAGGCTTAAGCACTTTCCTTTGACTCTGATCGATAGACATCTTTGAGTGGCAAAATTGTTGTTTATGCAGTCATTGAAATGCTTATCGTTTCATAGTCAAAGAATATTGCTTTCAATTTGTTTATAAATATAAAGAAAAATACGTCAATAATAAATGAAAACTATTGCAGCTTATGTCCTAAGCCAGAGAGAGAGGGAGAGAGAGATAGAGGGAGAGATTGAGAGAATATGGAAATGGGTTAATAATTTGCTGGAGTATAAAATGCTTGAGAATAAATGTGTTCTTGGTTTAAAGAAACTTTTAGCCTTTTCAGCATATTTTTTATTATTGACTTAAGCCAAATATTTTCAAAAATTCATCAATTTACTTTTTGCTTATATATATTTTTTTTTGTTTTATGGAAAATATTGTCATAAATTTAAGCTGAAATTATTCTTTTGCTTGTAAGATACTCGTGGCTGCTTCAAAGGATTTATACACCACATGATCCAATTGAAGACTTCAAGCGGGTTCATGCAAAGAATGTTTAGGCATTTTCTATTATATTTTCTCTTTATTTTCTTTTTATTTATTTTAAATTTTTGATTTTTGGCAAATAATAAAAAAGCAATAAATAAAATATAATAGCTACCAACCTAACAGAGAGCCAGCTATAAATATATAAAATATATAAGTTTAATAAATATTTTTTTAGTTGAAATTCTTTTTGAAAATATTTATAAATTATATTACTGGGCAAATAGCTTAATTGATGAACGTTTTTAAATGATATTTCTGTTTGGCTGATAATGAAACCTATGCCAAAAATGTCTTTAAAATAGAATTATAACATTATTAAAACCTAATAATATATATATGCTATATGTATGGATATAAGTGTATGTATGGCTTCCAAAAATGGAATTCACTTCATTGTTTATAATTCTAGTCTACAAAAGCTAACAAGAGAATCGTGAACTAATTCTAGACATTGGCAGGCTTTGGATCTTGGCACCTTAGAAACAGTTAGTTTAACATATCATATTTGATTCAAAGTCTAGTCAAGTGTATCTGCAGTACAATATCTAAATAAATAATAGTCTTAAAACTATTTACTTTTTAACTTTGCTGAAATACCCTTACTGAAAGCGTATAACAAAATACCCATAAGCCGCAGCAGCAGTAGCAATAGCAATAGCAGCAGCAGCAGCAGCAGCAGCAGCAAATGCCAGTGGTTGCTGCTGCAGTCAGTGACCCGAGTGGGGGAGTGACAGACAAGAGCTGCTCCTAAAGTGTAGCCAATTAAGTTTTTAAGGATCGTGCACTTTATGGACATGCACTGGAATCTGTGGCAAAGCTTTTAGCAAAAAGAATATTTTATGCTCGAGCTGTTTTATTATTTATTCGAATTTAATGCTTATACAGCTGACCTCAAGGCAGCAGAAATGAGACTTGATGAAGAATATTTAGTAGCCATTAGGCTGGGACATGACTGAGGGCTGCCACTTTAACGATCCATTAAATTGCATTATATTAAGTTTATTATAATAATCAAAATGGGATTAATGTGCCTGTGTGTGTGTGTAGCTGCAACAGGATCAGGAAATTGAGGAAGCTGACGATGCATTTCATCGCTGGCTGACATCGACGGAACTCAATGTTGACAGCACAAACACGCTCGACGATAGCTTGACAGCAGCAGCAGCAGCACCAGCAGCAGTAGCAGCAGCATCAGACGCAGCCGTCGGTGCAGCAGCATCAGATGCTGTTGAGCAGCAGGAAACACCAGCATCAACAATAATCGATGATGTTGGTATTAACAAAAGCAACAACAGCAAAGACAATGGCAACAGGCACGGCAACAACATAGCTGACAATGCGGATGCTGTGTTCTTTCGTAGCTCCTACAATGATTACAGCAGTGAATTCAATGGCAGCGTTGTCAATATTGACATTACGCTAACTGCTGTCGATGTGCATCCACAGCGTCCACAACAGCAGCACCAGCAGCAGCAGCAGCAGCAGCGGCAGTTGCCCAAAGCGCAAATGGATTTAATTGCAAATGACAACCAAACGTCTGACGTGGACGCAAGACAACAAACAACAATGCAACCAACGGCAGCAGCCACAACAGCAGCAGCAGCAGCAGCAGCAACAGCAACAGCAGCAGCAGCAGCAACAACAACGCCGCGGGCGCCCATCACCAACAGCAGCAGCAGCAATCAGTATGTGCCGCCCTATACGCTGACAACGATTATAACAACAACGCCTCTGGCAACGGGGCGTATGTGCAATGTGCTTGGTAAGTTGACAACAACAACAACAGCCCGTATAACGACAACAACAACTAAAGTAAGAACAACTCTCCACTCTATTGATTGCTGTTGCAGGCAAATTGTATAAAATTGGTGAAATTCTGCCACAGGACACCGGCAACTGTTTGCAATGCATTTGCACCGATGCGGTGACACCTGATGAGCTGCCCAGCGTCACGTGCAGTCCGCACAACTGCCCGCCGCTCGTGCTGCCCGACCTGTTCGATGCGACTGGTTACTGAGGTTACGGGTTTGTGCTGTAAGTTGCGAAAAATCTGGCGAAACATACAAAAAAAAAACAACAAATTCAACTCAAATTACAATACGAAACATACATATATATATAAATTGAAACAGAAAATTGGAAATTGAAAAAAGCAAAGAAATAATAATGAGGTAAAAATGGAATTAATACAAATTAATTGAATTTTAATTGAATTGGATTTAAGCATGGGCATTCATTAAAATCTTCAACTGCAGCAAATAACTCATATATGAAACTAATTAAACACACGCCCGCACACACACACACGCACATACAACACACACAACTGTAGCTCAGTCTCTGTGCTAACTCGACAATTTATGGATTTCAATGTAAAGCCCTCCCTATCATGAGTGCAATGCACACTCACTAAAACAAATACGAAAAACCTATCAACATATACACACTTACACACACACTCACACGCACGCACACACGTAGCCATATGTGTGTGCTAAGTGGAACAGATCAAATTGCTGAGAGCAAAGCCTAGTTTATAAGCTTAATGTTTATGCATTTTACATACGACAACAACAAAACAGAAACGTAGTCGAGCAATTCAACATACAACTCTGCCCACCCTCTCTACCATTCATCGTCACACACAGCATGCAAATGAATGTATACACCATTAGAAATTTTAAAGAATTTATAGATGTACTCGAAAAAGCCCAGCAAACACACAAATCTCAATATCTACGTATACACACTCTACTATATACCCGCATATATAGAAATATACATATATATACATAATATTAATCTATAAATATTTATTTTATCATAAGTACATACATATATACATATATATCGGATAGGTATATATACCCTGTAGCCAGTTATGTCGAAAGTAGAAAAATATATTCATATTTTCTTCATTAACTTAAGGCATTTAGTCTAACAGTAGTTATATATATTATTGATCACAAATATACATAACTATATACATATATATAAAGAATTATATTCCTGATCAATATATGTATATTTCTGTTAAACATCAGCCTTCGCATACATCAAGTTTTTTTTTTTTCTATCCGTTTGTCTGTTATTAAGAGCTTAGAAATAGTAGTGGAGCTCCGAAATATCGCATACATTCGATCATTTCTATCGATAGTTTTATATTACTACAGCTATTTTTTAAATATTTTTACAATTATTATTTTAAACATATATAAATAATAATTTTTTATTATCTTTAAGAGAGCCTGGCGATCATCACCAAACAATTGAAATTTTTTTTCGAAAATATAAAATTGTTTATAAAATCTCGATCAATTACGAAATCAAATAATCGAAAGTAGATCGAAAAGCCTAGGGTACTCGGAACTTAAGGTAATAGAAAGTACATCGAAAAAATTTAGATTATCGAATGTATCGGATGTAATCTAAAAGCATATCGAATGGCTGGAGATAAACGAAAGAAATCAATTACTTTAAGGTAATCGAAAGTATATAAATAATATCGATTTTTTTCTTATTTTTTTTTTCTTATGCTTCGTTTGTATATATTACCTGAAAGAGCAATTTGAAGTACTTTTTCCACACTGGCTACAGGGTATCAGTTAGTCGAGCACACACGACTTGCAACTTTTTCAACTCCATCAAATTTGATTTACGATATATTTATATACGATAAAAAACATATATACCAAATGGAAGCGTACTTTAAGCAACTAAATCCAAAACGTAAAAACTGAACAATGACAAATAATGTATTACGTATCTGTATAATCAGTTGCAACTAGTTTAAGATAAGAATCTGATTTAAATTCGATATCTACTTTCGTTTGTTCAATTAATAATTTATGATTTGTAAGCTACTTGAACATATTATGATAAATACGTAATAATTTATGGATTATAATATCAATATTTTAGAGTATTATTATACGAATATGTATAACGTTTTTTAGAGAAGAAGAACACCATATCTCGTAGTAATATGAAGCCTAATATTTAGACCTAAACTAACAATCATTTATGCTATTTAGTTATAGCTCCACATTATTTCCACATCTTCAAGCAAAAACTATTTTAGGCGTGATAATTAAAAATTCACTTTAAAAAAATGAAATTTAATTTAAGCATAAACAAAAATCGAACAAATATATATATATATATATATAATATAATATATATATATATATATATATATATATATACTTGAAAAGTAGAAAAAAAAATGATAGTTAAAAAGTGAATAGAAACTTCAAATTTTATATAAAAAAAATGCAAAAAACTCTGAACTTATTCAATGCATAAATAAATCAAAATAAATTCTTGTAAAAATCAACATAACTGTACTGAAAAGGCAAATAAAAAGAGCAAAAAAATAAAAATAATAATTGAGATATCAGACAAAATAAAAACAAAAATGAAATACAAATTAAAATCGTATACTCGTTATCCGAACGTATTTAAAAATAAAATCGAAAAAAAAAAATGTATACAAAATAAATATTTGCAAATATATCAAATATTGTATGTGTAAAGTTAATGTAATTTCAAACATACATACACCCACACGTATATGTATATGTATGTGTAGAATTTTTGTGTTTTGAGAGCAAATCAAATTGACATAAATAAACCGAAGCAAAACTATGATAAATTAAGCTGAATTTCTTTTTCAATTTGCTAATGAAATCCAGGCAAAACTCGTTGGAACAGTTTCATTAAATTTATTATTATATATGCACCTGGACTGGACATATTCCACAAATTAATTGGCTATAACATATCGCTTTCGCTGCCCGACTCGAAGCCCGAATCGTCCGCCTCGGTGTCCAAATTGAGGGGCAGCACAAATTCTGGATTCAGCATAACCATGTCGTGACCCGCATGTCCGTGCATGCCCGTCCCATTTGGATGGCCAAGACCGGCCGCTGGCTGCTGCCATTGCTGATAGTCCTGCAGTATCATCTGGACGCGTCGATTCAACGGTCGTCGATTGTATCGCACCGTCAGCTGATTGTCGCCACTGCCGTCCATAATTTGGTAACGCTTTCTCGGCCGTCAGTCCAATCGCGTGTTCAAATTGGTTTCTGTTTTGTTGTTTTTTTTTTTTTAGAATTTTTAAGTGTTTGAACTTTGTCAAGTAGGTTTTATATCCAGGCAAAACTGATTTCGTCTCATCAGCATTTTCAAATTTCAACTGGCATTTAAAACAAAACGGAAATGAATTTGCCAGCCAGATTGACTGTTAATATGGTTAAATAAAGCATAAATCGACATGTGCCAGACGGGCGGCAGGCAGAGAATAAAACCGAAACTATAGCTCATATGTTGGACGCTTTATTAGATTTTTGGACCACAGCGCAATCAACGCGCTGCCAGCAACCACAAAGCACTTAACTATGTGTGTGCTACAAACACACACACACACGTCCCTCATTCCCTCGATTTATGTGTGTGTGCATGCGGAAACGGAAGCGAGTCAAAGCCTGCAAAGTGTTCAGCCTGGTTGACTGACCGCATAAAGCCATCTCCCATTGCCCATTGCCCATTGCCCATTGGTCTGTGTGACCAAAGCCGAAACGCAACCATTGGCCATGCACAGCTGGCCGAAAGTATTGCCATTGCCCCATAATGCTGCCACACAGCCGCACAATGCTTTTTTGCTGTCAATTTGTGATAACGGGCAGCTTTATTTTGAAAAAGTATCTACGACTTTATTTGTGGCAACTGCCATCGCATGGTGCGTGCAACATCAGCGCATGTTGCCCATTTCACAATTCACATTTTGCCCACCCTGAATTATGGAGCCAACTGAATTGTACGCAATTTCGTAAAAGCAATCAAATTATTATTAACTGTAAACTGAAACTTGATAAATTCGAAATTGCAATTTACTCCAAAATGAAGCACATCAAAATGATATGAAAACGTTGGAGCGTTTATGAACTATTTCAAATTTTTAGTGTATAGTTTAAAACCCTCTTCTTCCTTGTATTTATTAAGATAAGCTCTTAGGTATATATGATAAACTGTTAAATAAAAACAGGCTATAAAACAGGTAGAAGAGTTGAATGGAATCGACTGCATTATACTTGAAGGCAGCTAATTTATTGAGCTGTTGAAATGTTGCTGATATTTTGACAGTTGTCATGACCCAACGAACTATATAATTTATAGATTTCTGAGTTGAAGTTTCAGAGTGTTTCATCTGCAAAACCTTTTTAAGTTAAAGATAAAACTGAACACGACGTGACGATGATACATAATTTAATCAAGTTGTTAAATTGTAGAAAATTAAGTTAAAGAGACTGTCTCCAGTGTATCTCAAGTAATCTCTCACCTTTTCGCGTTTCGATGACATTGATTCTGAGCCCAGCTGCAAGTCTTTGAGTACAGACAACGATACTCGAAGTAACCTATTTAAAGCTCTATTGCCTTTAATGATATCAAAGTAAAGAGTGTATAAAAATCATTTAAAATTTAGAACCAATTCGCTTTGCTTCGATTTGAACATTTTTTACCTTGACTATGGCTTGAAGAGCGCAAAGCATTGAAACACAAGCTGCGCGACGGCGACTTGCCACTATCTTGGCCCACTTAAGAACAATGGCTTTCTGGTGTGTTTTTTAGGTGAAACAAAGGACTCAAGTTCACTTGACTTCTTTAAAGCTAGAGCTCTACAATTTTGTAGTTAACTTCTTTTATAAGTTAAACAATTTTAATATATTTTATATTTTCATGTTGGCTTCAACTTTCATTAAAATCAATTTAATTATAAAAAATTGGCAAATGTAGACAAATTTGAAAAGAGTTTGGGATGTACATCACATTAATTGGGCTAAGCTAATGACAATTAAATTGAAAACTTGAATAAATATGAAAAAAATTGTGATCAATTTGCAAATTCAACTAACTATGACAACAATTACTTCAGAGAGCTTAGCTCAGCTCAAAGGCATAAAATCTAGGCTCAACATATATCGAGCGAGAAAATTAGCTCAGCAAAAAAAGCGCATAAAACAGGAGGCAGGGCACAAAAGTCAATGGGAGGAAAGGAAAAAGAAAAAATTAAAAAAAAAAGAGAGAAACGATGCACGC